CTTTTGACTTTTTTATTTTAAATATAATATAATAATTATAATAGAAATATTAATATATAAAAAAGAATTATTTAAAAGGCAGGAGAGATGTGTGTTACAACAAAATAAGACTGCAAATATGTTTAAACGGAAATGATTGATACAATTGTATTACAATTGACGGATTGAACTGGTGAACCAATTGGAAACGTTCACGTAAGGCCCCGAAATAACAAAATGGTTCCAAGATTTGTCAAATCTTCTTTTTATTAAGGATTCTAAGAAAATAACGTTTCGTTTTTTATTTCTCATTATTATTTTGTTTTAATATTTTCGATTACTTTTCTTTATTGATTTTTAATAACTTTAATATGTTAATATAATTTTTGTTTCTCTTTTTTTGAGGTTAGGATTGACGTCATCATTTGATTCGTCATTATATTGATGACGCATTCTATGACTTTGTTTGTTCTATTTCTTTCTTAAAGGAAAAAAAGTTAAAAAAAAAAATAAAAAAGAGAGAAATAATAATATGACGTAAAATGAATTTGTTTAAAAAAAAAAGAAAAAAGAATAATACGAACAAATATTCGCGAGAAGTCCTAAGTTCGAAAGATTAACAATATGTATGTATATACGTATGTATATGTATGTATGTATGTATGTAAAATGCGTGCATGTGCGTGTGTTACGTATGCATATGGGAATATAAGTGTGTGTGCACACACAACGAAAGAAAACAAAACAAACAAACAAAGAAATCACATTTGGAAAATAAATGAGATGATTTTGTCTACGTAATTAATTAATTAATTAATTAATTAATTATATTGATGATATATTGCATTTCGTGCGAGAATACGCAGCAATTCAAACAAACAAAAAATACATTGGGGAGAGTAATAAAAAATTAATGAATAATGATAAACTAAAAATAATTTTATTATAAATCCAACATTGTACAGTTGTTGTTGTAAGAACGAATGTGATGAATACGCGTGTGTACGTGCGACAGTAAAGAGAACGAAATATTATTAACATATGCATTTTTTCATATATATATTTTATTTTTGTTTGTTTGTCCCCGAACCATAGATTCCAGAAAGACATTTATCCGTTCCAAGAATGTTTCCTATTCCTATGGCATGTCAAAACATCTTCAAAACAACCGACGTGATCGATGATACGAAAAAACCTAATGAATTATATACACGGGCCGTTAATGATGACTGTTATTATTGGTTCGCTAAACAAACTGGGAATTCGGTTGCTAAATTTTCGAATGGTAACACAGTAAGTACCTTTTTGTGTTTTTTTTTATATCGATAACATTATTTTTATTATTATTATTATGTATATAAATATATATATATATATTTTTATACATTTTATGAAATCTATAAATTT